CCCCCCACCACCCCTGCAGTGAACCCCTGTCCCAGAAAGGTACGCTGCTGCAAGACTTGGTGAGGTTTTCCTTTGAGTGTATTTGGTTTTAGGGGTTTAAATTTTAAATTGCTCAGCCATCAGCCTTCACGTAGTGTGCATTGGTAGCGCAGGGAAGACACACTCTTCTGCATGTGGTGGTTTGGAACTTGGAAGGTGGACGCAGTCTTAACCGACCACACCTTCACCTGCATACAGGTGGTTTCTTTCACGGGCGTGTAGCTCATTTCTAGACTTTTGAACATGAGGAAGCAGGGGAACTGGCTCACCTGGCTGTGCACCCCGCATCCCCGTCGTCACCCCTGCTCACGCTGACTGCCATCTGTGGTCCCCCTCGCGGACCCCACCATGGAGGTGTGTCAGCCCAGCTCACGGCGTGTGACAACCCAGGTCACCCAGCCCCAAACCTGTGCTGTGGATCCTAGCAGTGGCCTTAGTGGCTGAGGCCCAGGCTTCATGTCAGGTGAACAGAGGCTTGAGGGGCCCTGAAGCCACAGACAGGGGTGCCCCTGTGACCAGCAGAGGGAGCCCGTGTGGCAACCCCATGGAGGCGGGTTTAGCCTTCAGTGGAAGGTTCTGACCCATGCAGAGGTCATGCTTAGAAGTAAGCCAGTCCCTACAGGAGTCTGCCACGTGAGTCCATGGACATGAGGGGCCCAGAGGGGTCCGCATCACAGAGACGGGGCCGTGGCCACCGGGTCCAGGGGGAACGGTGGCTGGGAGCTGGTCGGTGGGTGTGTCAGTACACTCGTGTCCCTCTAAGGAAAAGCCTGGGCTGTGAAGGCTGTAAGGAGGGGCTCATCTGGGCTGATGGTTCTGGCCCGAGGTCCAGGGGTCATCTCTGAGGACCTTCTTGCTGGCAGAGTCCAGAGGTGTTGCTTGGCGTCACGTGGCAAGGGGCAGGGAGCGCGTGCGGGTCCTGGGTCTCTCCCTCTTCTCCCCGAGACCAGGATTCCATGCTGGGCCTCCACCTCGGTGACCACCCAGAGCCCAGCTCTGCGCCAGCGTCAGGTGAAGCTCCAGCCCTCTCGACACCTAGTGTGGCCCCACGCCCCACCAGGATTCCTCGGGGACAGAGCGTGCCCTCACCAGACATTCCACCCGCGTGTGGGGAGTCGGTGGGAGAGAGGGTGCCCGGCAGCGTGGATGTGACTGACGGGGGTCAGTGGCACCCACGTCCACCTAACTGTGGCCACAGCGGTGAACTTTGTGTGCTGTGTGTTCCACCACAGGTTTTTACAAAAGGTACTTTTGACAAGCTGGGGTAAGATGTGGAAGGGCCAACAGGTGCCCAAGAGCAAAGAATGCAGGCTGGCACTAAGAGCAGAGAGTGGCCAGGGGGTGCCCTGGCTGGGGACCAACGACGCCCAGGACGGGTGGTGACCACCCTTGACCACAATGGCACCGTCTGCGTGTGGTGTGGGGGCTGTCGAGGGTGAGCCCTGCTCCTCCACCGCGTCCCCCACGTCTGGCCCCCTGGATGTTAGCTGCAGGACCAGGCAGGGGGTGAGCACCAGCTGAGAAGAGGGGAAGAGAGGGAATTTTAAACATGCGGGGGGAAGTGAAGCCAGGGCCGTATCAGGGGAAACAGGAACATCTCTGCCCTTTGTGGTGGGTGGCGTCAGGACCAACAGTCGATTTGGAAGGCACGTTGGGACCGGGCTGTTTAAGATTTCATCTTCCTGACTTGCAACAATTTCCATTAGACACTTAGAAATTGTATTTCACAGAGTGCGGTGTGGATGGATGACTATCATGGTGTTCTCACTCCTGTGTAACAGGAAACAGTCATCCTGGCTCGCAATCACTGCAGACTGACTTAAATAGAGCCTGTCTGTTAATGATTGCCGTGTCTACAGTGGTCCTCCTTGTTTGAAAGGGACATGATCATTTGCAAGAAGATTAATCGTGTTTTCTAATTGCACTGAAAATGTCTTGTGTTCCTGATAATAGTCTCTTCTGACGTCTGCAGGAAAGTTGAGCAATTCCTTCTAAGGAAAAGCAGTAGAAATTAAAATAATCATGCTTTTCCATTTTTCTCTTCAAAGACCTAACCAAAAATGAAGACATAATTCGCTGTCTTTAAGGTCTCGCTAATCGAGAAAAATACGTTTTCTTTCACGGCTTTGGAAGTAATTCTGTTTCCCTTGCTCACGTTTAGGCGGCAGACCAGATTAAGAAGCTGTACAACCTCTTCCTGAAGATCGATGCCACTCAGGTGGAAGTGAACCCCTTTGGCGAGACTCCCGAAGGACAAGGTAAAAAACACGAGAAGTGAATGTGTTGTGATTATTTATGTAAACTATAAATTGAATTCCACCAGGGCTACGGCAGCCCCTCCGCATCCAGCCCCTGGAGCCGTAGGATGTCTGCGGGGTTTCACATGCGCCCCTGCCCAGCTCAGCACTTCAGCACTCACATTGTTTGCAGGCACATGGAGAGCCCTGGAGGAAGCTGCTTGTTTGACTTTGAAACATGTGTGTACCCCCTACACAGACACTGCCACGCATGCTGGCACTCACCCATACATATGCACTCACGGACACACGCATCCACATGTGCACACACACGCATGTGCAGACGCGTGCAGACACCCTGCACGTACAGACATGCACACAGGCATCTCCAGGCCTGTTGCTGCTGCGTCTCGTGAGGGGATCCCGGTGGGGATGGGAGCCTTGCTCTGTGTGTAGTGAATGCACCTGCTGTTCCAAGACCAGAACTTCTGAAGCTCTGTTTCCCCTAAGCCTGGGTATGATTCCCTGGTGCCCCAGGCTGATGTGCATCGGGGTGGAGCCTTGCCACTCTGCAGCTGAGCTTCCTCACACTACCTGCTTCAGGGTTTCTGCTTAGAGTAGGAAGTGGCACTTCTGAGGGGCAGGTCTCCTACCCACCAAGTACTGAGGAGCATAAGTAGCTGTTTTATGGGTGGGCATCTGCCCTTGTGCCGTGTGTCCTGCCTACACTTAGGGTCTGGTCAGTGCTGGCTGATTTGGTAGCAGAGGCTTGTGACTGTTGGGTAGTTGGGAGGAGTGGAATGGCAGGTGGATAGGACAGCACCCCACCGTGCAAACCTGTCTCTCGGGTTTCACCCACATCTGGCACGGCGTGGGAAGTAGTAACTCGCCACTTCCTGTGGAACTGTCCGTGGGTGAATCTCTGTGTGTCGACCCGTGTTGTGAACCCAGGGATGTCTGCAGTGTTTCCCCCTAATGGAGATTCTGTGGTCAGACTCAGAAGAGTGTCAATTTGTCCTCGTAGCCCAGAGAGGCCTGGTACAGATTCAGGACCTACTGTGTTCTGGCTGTAGACCGGGGCACGCACCTGCAGAAGCCTCAGATGCTCTTATTAGAACAAAGAGGTGAAGACGATACTTGTCTCAGAATGGTTGTGAAAACCAGGTGGGCGGGTGTCCTGTGTGAACTCTCAGCGTCAGACACCAAGTCGGCCAGTCCTGACTTCCATGAAATGGAGTGCCTCTTCAGGTCACGCAAGAGGAAGCCTGCGTGTGACCAACCTACCGACAGGAACACCTGAGAGGAGGGGGAGTCTGGTTTGGCTCACGGTTTCCGAGGTCTCAGTTCACAGGTGGTCAGCGAGCTCAGAGCCCAGTTGAGGCAGAACGTCATGGCTGAAGGGAATGGAGGAGGACAGCAGCTCAGGACGTGGCACCAGGAAGCAGAGAGAGCTCTGCTCCCCAGGAACAAAATGTGAATCCCACAGGCACACCCTAGGGACACACTTCCCCAGCCAGGCCCACCTGCCTACAGTCTACACCCCGTTAGTGCCCATCAGCAGATTAGTGCACTGACTGGGTTAGAGGTCTCGTAACCCGATCATTTCACCTCTGAATCTTGCATGGTCTCACACATGAGCTTTCGGGGGACACCTCTCACATCCCAACCCTAACACCTGGAGAGGGTTGGAGTTCAGACTGGGACAAGCAGAGCTCCTGTTTAGGGAGCTTGTAAGATGATACATCGTAGTCACCTAGATGACCCCCTGATAAAATCCTGTGCTGGGACATTTATTTACCAGCTGCCTTTTTCCAAAAATATTTAAAAAACTGACGTGGCTACGAATCTCCAGTATGGCACATGGAGGAGAAGGGAGGGGGGAGTGCTGAACCCGTAGGCCTGGTTCTGGATCCGCTTCTCCACACTGACTGTGCTTCACGCACACGGCTGTGGAGTCGGGGCCTCATCCCCTCTGTGCAGGGCGTGAACACTGACTGGCTGTTGTGGGCAGCTGGCCTGGGGGGGGATTGCTGCCCGCCCCTCCCAGGGGCGTGTCCCCAGCCTCGGCCGTGTCTGGCAGCAGGAACCTGGTGGGCGCCGTTTCTCAGAGGGCGTTTACAGGCTTCACGAAGTCTGAAGTTTTCCCTCGAATTATTAAGAAAGTTCTTGAGGTTTTTTTGTTTTTTAAAGAATCAGCACCAGACACGTTCTGTATATACAGTTCATTAAAACAGAAGCCTCACGTGATATTTTTAAGAGCAGAATTATCTTTGGCTGTTAATTTGTTCATTGTACCATGAAAGTTCAGCTATTGAATTGTAATCACAATTAAATGAGTGTGTTGGTTCGTAACTCTAATGAGCAGTCGTCAAATTAAACCCAATTAGGAAATGGTGATTAATGACCAAAGGCACAGATTGATCTTCATCCTGTCCAGAGCCGGAGCAGCCCTTCATTAGGGCATCGAAGCAGTCGTGTGTGCCTTGGCCACGTGGGTGATCTTAAGATGCATCGTCTGGACTTTTAAGTCATTTCCATGCAGATCAGTGACGGCCGACGATTCACACAGGGGCGTCCACCTTGGAGCCTGATTTCATAACGGGCCGGGTCATTTCAGCTCAGGCGTTTTCCTGTGAAGCTCTTCATCCCACCAGCACTCCGTGTGGAATTCCTCCACCTCCGTCGCTCCCTGGGGAACCTTGACACTCAGTTTGCTGCAGGGTCGGTGCCTGCTGCCGGCTGGACAAAGACTGAGGCCTGGACGTCGAGGCTGCCCAGGCAACCTGGGGACGTTGGACATGGAGGGAGAGCCGCCCTCTGAGAACTGTTTCCCAGTGTCATTAGTGACCCAAGTGCAGGACTGTGATGCGACTCCACTAACTTTAACCTAGTCCAGGACGTCCTGGCTGGGATGTCAGTGGCGGCTGGGGACAGAGGCCTCTAGCCTTGGCTTAGCTTCTGTTAGATGCACCAGGGGACTCTTCCTTCATGAGTTAGGAGCCTAAGGCGTGGGCAGGCATGGGCCGGGAGCACCTGCTGGCCTCTGCCTTGTTCTCCCTCGCCCGGCTCTCTGCAGTGGGCAGCCTCCGTGGGAGTCCCCTGTGGGAACCCTGCTGGAGTCACATGGGCACGGCTGGTCCAGCTGCCTGGCAGGCAGCGAGTGGCACAGGAAGGAGGGGCACAGAAGACACGTCCACCAGCCAGGGCGAGCCAGCCTTTCCTGAAGTAAAAGTGAGCTGTGTCAGGTGGCCATCAAGGGCAGGCTGGCCACTCTTGCTTGTCCAGCTGCAAAAACAGATTGATTCACCACCCAGCGTGGCTGGAGAGAGCCAGAGTTCCCATACCTGTCAGTCTTCCGACCTGTCCGTTCTTTCTCTCTGATGTCACGGCCTCAGTGGGGTTTTAGATTCTGTTTGGTTTTCCCCACCTTCCCAGGTCTGCCTGTGTCTGTCAAGCGTGTGATTATTGGGGTGGCCATGTCACCCCAGGGAACATGGGGCCAGGTCTGGGGATGGGTTCAGTGGCCCCAGCTTGGGGCGGTGCTGTTGGCTCCTAGCAAGCAGAGGCCAGCGAGGCTGCTGAGTCCCCTGCCGTGCCCCGTGGTCCCCCAACAACAGGGCACGGCCCCAGCCCACACCCGCAGCCCCCCTCTGCGGATTCTGGCCGTGAGGCGCTTTCCTCGGGCAACCTGGACCCGTTCATTGAGCTAAAGCAGCCCGACCCGCAGCCGCAGTGGCTCAGGGGCCAGGATTCCGTGAGAATCAGGCCCAGGGAGCTGCAGTTGGCTGGCACCCACTTCCCTCCTTCCTCGGGCCGCTTCCCTAAATAGCTGCCCGTCGCGGTGTGAGCGGGCGCCCACGGCGTTGGTGGGCGTTTCTCTGTTTCTCTTTATACACAGACTATTTTCAAGAACGTTTTCTGCTTTCCGCCTCCCCAGCCCCGTCTCGCCCCCTCTCTAGTTTTTTTTTTTTTTTCCTTTTTGCAGCAACTTCAAGTAAAGTTCTGGAAAGTGTTCAACTCTTGGAACGTGGATAGTTAACGGAAAGTGGAACCGATTCTGAAGTGTCAGCATTTTAAGGCCACCTCGGCACGTCGTCTTTCAGTAGCACATGATGGTTATTGATCACAAATCAGACGCAGCCCATTGCACAGAGACAGATTATTCCTCAAACTAATTACGACAGTCTCACTTCCTGCTGTTTTTACGCTCCTTTTATGTGCACGGCTCCCCTCAGAAATGTGTTTTTCTTTTGTTTAACTCCATGGCACTTTCCTCTGTTAAAATTCAGGGTCAGAGGGTTCCAGCTGCCAGTTACGTTCTCCGTCGAGGGAGCTGAATTAGCAGCTCGCCAAACCTCACGCCTCCAAACAGAACACCTTAGGAATACAAGGACCACGGCTCCCTTTGATATTTGTTGGGAAGGAAAATTCATTTGTATCATCTATCAAGCATGTAACAATGTGCTTTTGATGGTGAAAATTGTTTTATAAATATTAATAGGTGGTTTTTTTTTTCTATCATTTGTATACAGAATAGCCTTTGTTCAATGTGGATTTTTATGTAGAATGGAGGCTTCATTAACGTGGCGTTGAAAATCGTCATGTCTGAACTGAGTTCGGCCCCTCCACACTCTACATTGACTGCGGTCGTGCGCTGCTTTCCTAAAGAGAGGCCAAGGTTGAGGAGCAAGTCCTTGCTCTGCTGTCGACACTGGCACCAGCCCGCTCTTGCCCGCCACTTCTGGAAGTGCCTTTGGAAATGGCGTGTCCCAGCTGCTCGGGGTTCAGGGATCCTGCTACTCTAGGGCTCCTTTGTTCCGCTTGGCGTTTTCATTGTCTCCCAGGAAAAGCACTGTTTGGCCCAGTATCGCCTTCCCTACGACAAACCCAGCACTGGGGAGTTGTGTCCGTCAGTCAGTCGGTGAAGAGGGACACGGTTACGAGCGTGGTTGCTCTGTGGCCGCAGTCAGCCACTTCTGAAAGGGTGTCCTGCGGTTCTCTGTAGTGGGAAGGGAGGGTCGGGACAGCGAGATCTGGAAGCAGCGCTCTATTAGTGGCACTGCAGCCCAGAGGGATGATTCCCGAAGCCTGAGCCCCAAGGGCAGCAGCGCTTTTACTGTTGGACATCAGCAAGTTTCCAGTCCGTGAAGGCCAGGGAGTTGGTGCAATTCTACTGGAGGGTGCATGCTGTATTCCTTATGTGGACACAAGCCGGTCAGCAGCCTGGGGACTCTGAGCTCACACGGCTTAGGGACTTCCACTGCACTCAGTCTCAAGGGGGATGTGCTGTCCCTGCTACTTTGTTTCTGCTTCTGCTACTGTGGCCATCTTGCTGCAGCTGCCTCTTCTCAGCCTCTTAGTAGCTAAGTGTCAGTGAGCAGAGCTGCTGTGTGTGGTGCAGAACCACCGCCTGCCTCACCTGCCTGTCAGCTCTTAAAATGCAAAGATTCCATTCTGTCCGACCACACTCTGCTGCTGTCGGGGAGACAGACCTCGGGCACGTGGGAGGAGGAGCGTGGCCTCTTCTCAATAAAGCTGTCTACAAAAGCAGGCTTCCGTAGGTCTGAGGGACGTGTGCCTGCCACCCTTCACTCAGACCCTCGGATCTTTTTCTCCTACCAAATTTTGACCACCTTGGCCTTGAGCAAAGCTATGATGGGACTTGGGGGTCCTGGCAGGCCCCTATTTGACCCTGATTCTCAGTCAAACCTCTTCTCCGTGAGCATGCTGAACTTGCCAGCTGTTAAAATCCTTCCTTTGAGACGACTGTATTCAGAAAAGGGCTCCCGTGTGAAAACGCCAGCAGAAACCCATTTCCATTACCCCAAACACAAGCCTAGCTTTACTGGGGGATGGGAAGGTCCCTGGGTCGTCTCTGCTGGGAGGGACAGGGGAGAGTGCTGCAGAGGCACCATCAAGAGGACGGGCCCCAGCTGAAGCAGGCCCACAGGTGGCAGCACCCTGAGCCTTGCACACCCGCTCATAGTGAGCAGGGGGCTCTGTCAGCGGCCACGGCTGCCACCAGCACCACGGCAGGAGACACTGTGTCCCTTGTGTGGTGGCGCTCACCAGCTGCAGGGAGTCTCCTGCCCAGGCTGGCGGCTGGGCAGCGCCATGATTCCCACCGGGTGTCGATGTGGTCAGGACAGCCCTGTGCCGTCTGGCTCTGTGGGCCGTGTGAGCAGCCTGCCTTCTGAGCTCTGCATGCATATCCATTAATTATCCTCTCTCCCAAGCTGGCCGCAGTTGTCGTCTTTGTAAGGGACAGCGATTAGCTGGGAACTGTTTTGATTTACTGGCTTATTGATCTTGACCAAGAATTCTTTTATTTGAGACTCTTCACTTGGAAAGTCAATTTGAGAGCCTTTGCCCATTCGTTTTGAAGGTGTCAGTTACAAGCCGTCTTGCCAGTGAGTAATGGAGGGGCTGAAATTACTAATAAATTAATTAGGGTGTATTTATAAACCCCGTGGAAAGCCAAGAGCGAGGTTGCTTTCCTATTGACTATTCTACCGGTCATTAACTGCTGAGAAAGTGCCATTGTAGCAAGTGGAGACTTTGGTCGGTTCCTTTGGTAATTATAGGATTCTGTCATGGTGATTTCAGTGTTCTGGAAGGTAATTACTCATTCCCTGCAAGTGCCCAGTGTGGGCGGGGTGGTGGGCAGTCTGTGGCAAGACGAGGGACGCAGGTGGACGCCAGCTTCCGCGGGGTGCTCTCCTGACAGTGCTACCTCAGGGAGTGGTGGTCCAGGTTTGGTTGGTCGGGTGTCCATAGAGGTCAGCACGTCGTTCTGCATGGACCTGCACCACGGTGGTGTGTGGATTCCTGGCAGGGAGAGCCCTGGCACACCCCCTCCCTGGGGTCTGACCCCGGGATCCCCGGATGCAGGGTGCTTTCCCCAGAGGCCAGTAGGCTCTGCAGCGGCAGCCTCTGTGTTTCAGTGGGACGGTCCAGGAGACTGTTCCTCCTTCAAGGCTCGGTGCCCTCAGCCGTGCCAGGGCAGGCACACGGTGCGTTCTCGCTCACATCTGCCCGTCAGGGTCAGAGCTAAGTGGGAGGGTTCAGGTGGCAGGATCTCACGACACCTCTGCTCCCAGGGAAGGTGGCTAAGGTGTCGGGTGCACGTCCCACCCGCTGCCCCAGCCCTGCACCTCCGTGCAGAAGTCTCTGTGGATCCAGGACGGTGCTTGGGACCCGTCCCCGTGGGGAAGTGAGTTCTGCTGGGTCCCGAGCTCTGGGACCAAGGTGCAGCAGAAGGTGTGAGCAAGCTGTGGCTGTCTGGCCTGGCCTGGGGACAGAGGGTCTTGTTGTGGAGGTCGAGCACAGGAGTCAGGGTGGCCCTGCTCTTAGCAGACCTTGGAGCTGTGAGTCGGGGCGAGGGTCCTGGCTCCCATTCTTTCAGATAAGGCAACTGAGCCCCAGAGAGGAAGCGGGTGACGCTCGTCAAGGTCAGGGCTAGTGGTATGTGTTGGAGACTGCTAAAGAGTGGCTTTCAAGTGCGCTCACAGAGAAAGGAAAGCTAATCGGGAAAGTGTGTTCCTTTGTTCACCTCCAGCCGTCATTTCACACGATGTGTGTGTGCCAACACGCCATGCTCCACACACCGTGAACAAAGACGTCACATATCTATTCAGAAATTTTAATACAGAGAAACTTGAGAGGCACCAGTCAGATGAGAAATCCTGTATTCCGCCCCAGTGTTCTTTCCAGGAAAGGAAGATACGGATGAAAATTGCACCTTGCGAGGCAAAAGGACCAGGGAGGACCGAATAGTTACTTGGCTTCTCACCTTTTCCCCCTCTGGAATCAAAAGGGATACTCAGCTGTCACTTGCTAACGACCAGAAGCCCCACAGACAGAGTGAGCCCAGCTGTGTGGGCCGAGCAGGCCCGTGGCCTGCCACCTGTGGCCTGTCACCCGTGGCCTGCCGCCCATGGCCTGTCGCCCATGGCCTGTCAGCCGTGGCCTGTCACCCGTGGCCTGTCACCCGTGGCCTGTCAGGGGCGGCAACAGCTCCCGTGGGTGTTGTAGTGACAGGGACCCGTGGGTTGAACCCACCTTCTGGAACTCAAGCCCCTGAGAACAGGACGGTGCCCCTGTTGTCCCTGTCCCAGAGTTTCAGGTCAGAAGCCACAGCAGCCTCCCCTGCCTGTGACTGAAGGTCACCTCTCTGCCAGCCCGAGGGGATGACCCACGGAGCCCCAGTGGACGCTCAGCTGTGCCCCTTTTCTCCCCCTTCAGTTGTCTGCTTTGATGCCAAGATAAACTTTGACGACAACGCCGAGTTCCGCCAGAAGGACATATTTGCCCTGGACGACAAGTCGGAGAACGAGCCCATCGAGAACGAAGCTGCCCGGTACGACCTCAAGTACATCGGGCTGGACGGGAACATCGCCTGCTTCGGTGAGAGTCCCCGGGCCATCGGGGTGTTGCTGGATTCTTCTAGAATGGAGCAGCCCCAGGGTTCCCGGGTGTTGGTTGCCAGGAGCAGGTGCAGGCAGGGGTCTTAGGAGACCATCAGAGTCAGCTCTCAGCGTCCACCTGGAGGGCCCTGGGTGCAGCCAGGTGGAGCACTCGCTTGTCGTGAGAGAGGCCCAGAAAGTTCTCTCCGGTCAGCCCCCACTGGTCTAGAGCAAGGCTCCTCCACCCTGGCCCTCCTGAGGTGTGGGCTGAGCTGGAGGAGCGGCCACGGGGCTGTGGTCAGCCATGTTCCTGCGTACAGATCCCACGGTGAAAGGCACAACCCCGAGCTGGTGTCCCAGCCTCCCTGGTGGAGAATCACTTCGCCTGGTGAAACACCCCTTGCCCCAGGACTCTGTGCCAGTGTGCAGAGCTGTTAAGGAGATTTGGGTTCAAACCAAAATTGCTGTTTCAAAGGAGGAAGCAGACCCTCCCTGATTCTATGGTGGCTGAATGACAAAACACTTACTCACTTTGCCAGCCTGTCAGTAGAACCACCAATTCCTCCTCGTTGTCCCTGTGTGTAAGTGGCTCATTCAGCGGAGGTAAGGACGGGCCGGTAAAGGCATAAAGAATCCTGTTATTCTGCGCAAGGTCACAGCGCAGAGATGTATAGACTCCCAACTTAATTGCACCAGATCCTGTTTCCAGTAGAAACGATGCATGGCTCTGGAAACTGAGGTCTTTATCTTAATGGAATTAAAATAAAAAAGATTTGTGGTGCATTAAACCAACAGCATCACTGTATTCAGAACTGAGGAGACCTCATCCCGTGGTGCTGTTCAGTACAGGAGAAAATGACATCGTGGTCCCGAAGCTCTGGCTCTGCACTGGGGCAGTGAATGTAAACGTGGCAGGCCACGCACAGCGTCTGATCCTGTTGATCTCGTGTGCTCCCTGTGTTGTAGGCACTTGGAGCAGGGAAGAGCGCGGTGTGTTGAGAGCAAACTAGACGCAGATTCTTTGCAGCCTCTGTGGAAGTGTGCATGAATGGACCGAGCTCCCATTCACACGTTTTAAATTGCTCCAAGATCCGGTGTAAACCGTTTTATCTTAGTTGCCCAAAGACTTGATTCAATTAGTCACAGTCTTGGGCTTGTCAGGGGAATTCAAGGGTCTCAAAAGTGAGGGGCTGTCACCATTTGGAGGTCCTCCCTACCTGCTCCCTGGCTTTTTCTCCTTTTTCCCTTCTAACCTGAGAAAAGCAATTCCACATAATTAAGCTAAGAAATGCAATCGATCCGCAATGTGTAGCTCTGGAAATAAGAATTTCAACGTTAGAACCCTTTACTTGGTTGCGTCAGAAAGACTGCTAAGCGGCTGCCGAATCTGGGCTCTAGTTTTATTAAGTGGGTCGCTGGTGAGCGTTTCTACAGTGATTCACAGAGGACCAGGGGTGGCACGTTGTCCTGGGTCTGTCGTTTGGGCCCCGGTGGCTGCCTCCAAGGGATGCCCCCTGTGACCAGCATGTCCTCCCAGGCACACGGTGGAAGGGGCTCTGCTCCCCTCTCGAGCCTCTCTGGCTCCTGGCCCCCTCTCACCGCTGTGTGCACGCTGACTTGGCCTGAACTTGGCCTGCAGACCTTGCTCCTCACTGGCTCCCCTTCCTTCCTGCTTTCTGCATCTCCACAAGGGCTCCCCATTCCCAGTTGGAAATCACTTCCCGACTCTTCTTCATCATGAGCGTGCATGCACGTCTGGGGTGGAGTGGAGTCCCCACGGGGCAGGCGTGGGCGGGAGTGGCGGGCTGCAGTACTGGGAGGTGCAGCCCCGGGCCTTGCCCACTGCTGAGTGCCTCCTGTCCCCTTTGCATCTCACAGTGAACGGCGCGGGACTCGCCATGGCGACCTGTGACATCATCTTCCTCAATGGCGGGAAGCCAGCCAACTTCCTGGATCTTGGTGGTGGGGTGAAGGAAGCCCAAGTCTACCAAGCTTTCAAGTTGCTCACGTCGGACCCCAAGGTAATGCCCGTCTCTGGGGCGACTGCACAGGCTCTGCTGGCTCACCCAGCAGAGCCGCCTGCTTCCAACTGCTGAGCCATCCACACGTGGGTTTTGTGGCAGGCGGGTGGCCCGCCTCTGCCACTGTCACACACGTCGATTTAACTCTCCTCGTGGGCGAGAGGCTTGCACGCAGCCCCCAGGATCTCATTTTGGAGGCTGTACTCACCAAGGCTGGGGAGGCGGACGGCCATAAATAAGATGCAGCAAGTCACACAGTGGAACGCTGCTGGCCTGAGCCCCGAGAGGTGACTCACGCTACAGCCACTCGTCCTGTGCTCACCTGGCTGGGAAGGGTCCAGCCACATGCTCCTTCCCAGAAGGTGCCACCAGAGCACTGGGAAGCTGTACCACTGCGGGGCAAGTGTCCCCCTGGGTACCTAAAGGGCCTCGCCTGCTGGGTGCAGGTTGGTTTCCGTCTCTGACCTCACAGTTTGTAGCACTAAGCCCATCCTGGCCGCAGGTGGTTTCCTGGTCCGGAGCTGCCTCCTGTGTGTCTCTTCTTACCTCCAATCGCAGCAGCTGACCCATGGTAGGTGACTGGACGCCTTCACAGATGTCCAGTTGTCCTAGCAACTGTGTTCAGTACCAGTTTGCCTCTCTCCAGCCACTCAGCAGGGTGAAGGGGGGTGCTCGAACATACAAAGACAATTTTTTGAGTGTCCCGTGTGTGGTGCCCATTTAATCCTCTTAACGGGACAGTGAGGTCAATATAAGCCACCGCCATTGGACATTAAATCTGAGTCGTTGTCTCAATATTGTTAGGGTGTCTAACAAATTGCAACTTAACCATCTGATCTATACCCAGAAAATCATGAACACAAACAATACCAGAGTCAGGCTTTTATAGGAAATGCAGCCTGAAGTCAAGGCGGACGCTTCCCGTCCGTGAGCAGCCCGTTTGGGTTCCCGTGCAGCGTGTTTCTCTTGTCATCTGGGCAGTGCTTGCTGTGTGGATATGGCTCACCTCTGTTTTCTTCTTCCGAGTGACAGAGTGGGGGGTAAGGTACCGTGAGTTGCTCCCTCCCTTCTCCATTGCCGTCCAAGGTCGCCCACCTTGAGCAGGGTGTTGGCCAAGAAGACCTTTCTGTTGAGCTACCACTGCCCGTGGGCCAGGGGGACATGACCAGCCGCCCCCCGATCCTCCTTCCTGCTTCTCTCTGAGGGAAGAATCATTTTCTCCCAGAGATTCCCACACCAGTTTAAACCTGTAGAAACCGTGCACCTGACACACAGCTCCTCCTGCTGCTTGAGCCACAGGGCCCAGAGGACGGATGGCTGTAATAAATACTGGGCGTTCAGCGTCCACTGAACCTCAGTGCTGAGGACACAGCGCCCTCGTGGACTAAGTCTGCCAGGACAGGCAGAGGGTTTTCTTTGAAATATCTCTTCTGGGCGGCCGATCTGGAATCTTAATTTTGTAAAACTACAGGGCAGAGGGGCATGAAAAGTCAGCTGCCGAGCGGTTTTGCCGTTGCTGTTGTGGCGCTCTTCAGGAGTGCCGGCTTTACCTTGTGGAACATTCCCGAGCACTTAGACCCTTTGCGGGCTGCCTGTCGGCTCGGGTGGGTCAAGGTACGTGGGGGCGAGCTGGCTCTCCTTGTGCTAAATCAGGAAAATGGATGCATAGCTCTTCTCGTGGTGCACTTTCCAAGTCCTGAAATCCCAGAGCCCGTTAAAAAGCATGGCGCTGCGGTGGGTATTTTAATCCTGGCGTCGTTTCCGCGACTCGGAGGAGTTGGAAACAGCACAGAGGAGTTGATTCTGCAGGGAGGCTGAAGGAGCTCTGGCAGCAATTACATCAGGTGGAACCCTGTGCACCTGCCCAGAAGCAGAGGCTCCCAGGAGCCAGAGCTAATTGTCTCCGCAGTATCGATCCCCCGTTAGGTGCATATCCTGAAACTCAGCAGCACAGAAGGCCTGTTAGGGGTAAACTTAGATGAACTGATACTAACAGCTCCTCGCTGTCACATGTAAACATGATCCTGTTGATCAAGTCGAGCACAGATCATGCCAGAAACATATTGGACACGTTTCCACTCATGGTGCCGGCCACGGAGCTGCTGCCTTCCCCTCGCTGGTGGGTGAGCCTGAATGTGGCGGGTTTTCTCCTGGACCCGACACAGCATCTTCACTGGCACGCCGCTGGTCGGTTTCTAGCATGTGAAACAGGATCCGTCTGCCTCACCATCCACACCAAGGCAGCTCACCCCCAGACTGCGTCCTGGGCATCGTGAACACTCCGTGGTCGCTTGTCTTCGAGCTGGGCTGGAGAGAGCTGGCGGCAGGGTTGACCGGGTCTCGTCCCCCTTTCCATCTCCACAGCCCTAAGCTCCTGCACTCCTGGACTCCCAGGCAGGGACGAGGGTGTGGAATGGAATCACCAGTGGGGTTTTGAGCGTGGTTTTCTGGGGAAATAGCAGGGTGAACACCGTCCCTGACTTCTGCCCGCCGTGGGTGCACTTGTGTTGTCACTCCTGGCTTCTGTTTCCAGGGGTGTAGGGGTGAGCACAGGGCGCGTGTGGGCTGTGAGCACCACTGTGGAGACCAAGGGCAGAGGACGGGCGGCCCGTCTCGCACGGACCCCCATCCGCGGTGGAGGCTGAGTAATGGCTGCCTCGGGGCCTTGTTCTGAGACACAGTGGCAAGGGAGTGGCCTGACGCCGGTGCGTGCCCACTGTGACCACAGCCCTGGTGCGGATCCTGCATGGATGCCCCTCACGCACCCGCCGAGAAGGGTGCTGCCTGGCCTGGCTGAGGGGGGCGTCCCTCGTGGGCTGTGCGGCCGATGGCCTGTTAGTCCTGCTGTCCCTCTTTCTGTTGTGGGGCCTCAGGCGTGTTGTGTGACTGCTGCGTGCCTCAGCGTCCCCCCTTCATGCAGTGACAATAAGAACAGTGGCCACCTTACAGGGTGGTGGCGTTGGGGCATCACAACACGCTGGGCACCTGGTGGCCTTGTTCAGATACGACCTGCGTGTGCACACTGCCCATTGGTCATGAGGTCAGCGTGCCCACGTGGCTCTCAGCCAGGTGCCAGAGGAGGGCCGGGCGGGCCCAGCATCCTTCCCCGTCTGCTTTCTCTTGGAAGGCGGCCACTTCCCAACCTGGTAGCGGGGGTGCGTCTCCCCTGGGTTTGAGCTTGATGCACATAGAACCTTAAGCTGCGCCCCTCTCCACGCCACCAGCGTTTCCTCCCTGTGACCCACCCGCTGACAGGCGCTGCCCACAGGAGGCGAGGTGGCTTTGGCTCGTGTTTCAGAGGTCAGCCCGGGGAAGGTTGACCGTGTTGCTGTGGCCCACAGTGTGGCCCAAGGTGAGGTGGCACATCACGGCAGAAGGGCGTGGGGCGGAGGAGAGCTGCGTGGCTCTAGAGGGGTCAGGAAGCAGAGAGAGCTCTGCTCACCACGGGCAAACCGTGGACCCCAAAGCCACTTCCCCAGGGACCCACCGCCCCCAGCCCCACCCCGCTGCCTACGGAGCCACCGGCAGTCCATCCACTCTCAGTCCCTGGGTCCATCTCTGAACGTCTGGACAGGCAGGAGCTGACGCCTCGCCTCCTCCGCAGCAGGCGCCTGCTGGGTTAGCGCCGGGTTAGCGCCTCTCTCCCTGGCTGGTGAGGCTGAGCCCGCGTCCCTGTCCCTCCGCCCTTTGGATGCTCTCTCTACGCGGCTTTTGCCGAGTCTGTTACGCAGACAGGGGATCGGCACCCGGAGCCTGGTCTGAGAGCCAGCGTGGCCAGCCTTCCCAAAGCACAGAGAAGACTTGAGCTTGGGTTTCGAGTGTTTCGTTCCTTGTCGTTTCTGAAAGGTGGACATCTGTGGATGTCACGGCCATCTGTCTGCAGGAAAAGGGGCCCCGTGTCACGGCCTGGGCCGCTTCACAGTTGCTGAAAGGCTAAGAGGACCCTCTCTCTGGCAACAGTCCTCCGCTCAGACAACCAGGAGAACACAGTCCCGTGACAGAGCCACTAGACATCATCTGGGCTAAGTCTTTAGGGGACACCAGCTCATTCCGCTCTGTGGCGTGTGCCTCCGTGTCCTTACACACTGAGGCTGCAGGAGTAGCCCTGCGTGCCCTATTTCCAGTGTTAGTTTATGCAAATAGCTTAACTTTTAATAAACGTGCTTTGGGATTAGCATGTGCTAAATGTCTCATGTTTTTAGATTGTTGTACAGTTAGAGCCGACTTAACCATAAAGCAGAATATCGTCTTTTTATCCTGATGCACATTTACACCAGAGGCATGGGGCTATTTAAAGATAAACTGAGATAAAAATTTAAAGAGTTTATTTGAACAAGCTGCATCTCCAAACCAGGGGATGTTCTGGGGCTCCACTGAGTGGAAGGGCGGAGAAGGCTCTTATGGGGAGCCCAGAAATATGGCAAGGACGGAGTCTGCCTGGTGACAGTCACACAGTCGCTCCATTGGCCCGTCCCACTGGAAAGTCCTGGTTCTGTCACCGTAGCTTAGTTGGCTTGGTTAGTCCCAGGGTTTTGAAATGTAGGCGTTGACAAGAGACAGCTCAGGCCTTATGTTCCTGTCTGTCAGTCGGGCGAGGCCACACGCACCCCAGGGGACCCGTCTGCTCCCGACCCCTCTGCCTTAGTTCCCGTTAACAGAGCCACACCCGTTTCAGCACCCGCTTGTGAGCAGGCTGAAGTGTCCCCAGGGCCTGGGGATCCTGTGACTTTGTTCTCCCGTGGCTCCGGCACCTCATGACAGTGTGTTTTAGTGACCGCTGGCTCCTGTGGTCACAGGCTTGGACACCGGCCTTGGGGTGCAGCTGAGCAGGTGGGTGCAGGCAGCCTCTTGGTTCTGGTGACCGCTGACACGGAGTCCAAGACGACAGCTGGCCTGCTGGAGCCCACCCCTGCCCCGTGGCCTCCCTCACACCTAGAAGCCCTTTTCTTTCTTGGACGGGGTGCTGGGAATCGAGCCCTGGGGCCTCATGCCCGCTGGGC